CACCATCACTATTGTCCCCACCATCACCATCAATGTCACCACCACCACCAGTGTCACCATTATCATCAGTGTCACCACCCCATCAGTGTCACCACCGCATCAGTAACACCATCAGTGCCACCAAAATCTCAATGTCACCATCACCATCAGTGTCACCATCATCACCATCAATCTCACCACCCCATCAGTGTTACCACCGCATCAGTAACACCATCAGTGCCACCAAAATCACCACACCTACAAGATGCTTAAAACCCTGGAAAGTTCTTTCAGCCACCCCGGTCCATCCAGCTCAGATCTGCCACAAGCTTCTTCCCATATACTTGACTGCTGGGGCCATTGGGGGCAGGAGAGTGGTCTCAGGGCCATGTGGTGGAAGTTCAGAGGGGAAAGTTAAGACGGGGTGCTCCCAAAAGCTTTTCAGGGAGGTCCCAGCAATCACAAATCAGCACCAAGTTGGGGGAAGGATCCTTTCACTCTGAGTGAACTCCCAGCACCCTTTTTTAATTTTTTTGCAAGCAATCAAATCCTATATAATAAAAGGGTAATATGCAAATTGACTCTAACGGCGGAACAACCGGTCACTATGAGGCGCACTGACTACCAGGGTGCAGACGCTCAATGCAGGAGCTGTCTCCTGGTGGTCAGTGCACTTCCACAGGAGGAGCGCGACTCAGTCAGAAGCCAGCTCATGGCTGGCCAGCACAGCGATGCTAAGGATGTCCAACTAATGGCTTAGAGGGCTCCCAGGCTGCCAGAGGGATGTCTGACTGCCAGCTTAGGCCCGATCCCCCCCGGGGGAGCAGGCCTAAGCTGGCAGGTGGACATCCCCCAAGGGTCCCCAACTGGGAGAGGGCACAGACCCGGTTGAGGAGACCCCACCCCCACCCCAGTGCACGAATTTTTGTGCACCGGGCCTCTAGTATATAATAAGAGGCATTTCTATGGAAACAAAAGAAAAACAAAGGTTAATGACTGGAGCAGACTGTAATCTTGGTTTCTAGGTTTGAAAGCAGGCAGTCAAGACTTCTAGATGTCTGTCTCTAATCCTCTTCCTATAGAGTGACGGTCATAGTCTGATAGAGCCTCCTGGTCTCAGTGAGAATGTCTCTGGTGATCTTTTGCAGCTGGAACAGAGTGTCCAGAGTGGAGCTGTTGTGGTGATTTCTCTGATGTCTACATCAAACTGTCCCACCTGAGCTCGCATGGCCTTGGGAAACAGGCAGTGTTAGTTCCGTGTTTCCAATGGATGGGAGATGAAAATGTTAGTTTGGAGAGCTGCGGCCAAGTACTTAAGAAAACTAGAAAAATTCAGGATCCAGGCCAGTTTACAGGTAGAAAAAAAATTTTTAACTGCAAAGACACTAGGACCGAATATCCACAAAAGTACATTACAGTTTCTCCTGGAACCATCTTCTCTCTAAGACGACGCTCATTTTTATCAAAAACAGCCAAATTCAGACTAATTTATTTGCAAAATAAGTCTAGTTTCAATAAACTTGGCCTGATTATTTGTCTAAGTCCAGCAAGAATACTGTCAACCACATAGGCTCTTCTAAATCTGCTTTGCAGGAGTTTTTCAGGAATCTTCAGAATGAATGTTAAAAGTCCTCTTGAGGCTAAGAAGCTAAGCCACATTCTTGCCATCAGACTTCGCCTGCAGTACCTATAGATTTGGGGTTAATGCCTCTCTCCTCAAGGTCCCCAATATATCCTGAGCTTCTTACTTTGCAACCTTCGTTTCTTATCTGGAAAGACTACTGTGAACCAAGGTAAGCAGGTATCAAAAGTAAGCTGAAGCAAAATTAGAGTTTGGTTTTCTCTCTCTGCTAAAAGGACTATTGGTCTGCTATTGATACTGTGAAAAAAATTTCTGCCTAGAGAGCAAAGATTCGATATTTTGTCAAAATAATTTATGTTTTATGTTGTCTTAATCGGGTCCTTGATTATTTTTAAAAAAACTGAATCTCCTCAATAGTAAGAACTCAATTTTGCTAACAATTATGTCAACTTCTCTATTTTCCTTGAAATCTTTCATTGCCACTTTGGTTAAATGGATGAGTAAGGATTGCTTCATCATGACTTATGATCCTATTTAGTCAAATGTCTAAACCTCTTGATATATTTTGACAAACTTCCTAAAATTTAAATTATAAGTAAGAGTCTTGACCTGGGAATAACTTTGGGGTGTTCCAGAAGGGCCCCTGGGACACCTCGAAAGCTTTGTTTTCCCAGCACCTTTTTATGTCAGTTCCCAATAGCAAAACAAGCCACACCCCATGGCTCCTGGCCCAAGTCCCTCCAGCTTCTTCTCCACATGCCTCCTGGACCCCATCCTTGGGGCTTCCATAACTGGTCCCCTAGGGTCTCATTAGCCCCCAGTCCCCTCTGGGATGCCGACCCTCCTCCTCTCCCATTCAACCCACCATTGGAAGGTATGTTGGACCCAGGAGTCAGATCCCCAAATTCTACTGTAGAGAATTGTAACCCTGTTCTTTGTAACCCTGAACAATAAGCCCTTACATTTTACATTTTCTCAAGGAGTCTCTTAATTCTTCCAACATCCCTGTGTTGTGGGTAAGGCAGAAAGCCCCCACTTACACATGGAGAAACTGAGACCCAGAGAAGGGAAGTGTCCCATCTGAGTTCCTCAATGAGTCAGGGTGGAGTCAGCACTGAACCTGCACTGCTGGCGTGGCACCCTCTCAGCCCAACCCCCTCACCACCCGCCCGCACTCTGGTCGCAGCACCCCGTCCTCCCCACATCCACACCTCCCAGCAGCCTGACCCATACAGGGTTCCCACGCTGGGGCGTGGCCCGGGGAGGGCGGGGCCTATGGCCTTGGCAGGGCTGAGACAGAAGATGGGGCAGTGGCTGTGACACTGGACTTTTCCCTTCCCAGAAGCCAAAGTCCCCAGGTTCAAAACCTTCTCCCCATCCCATTCACTCCCACCTCTGGTCTACCTCTGGCATTCAAAGGGGCTTTTAAAGTAACCACCCCCGAGATTGCGCTCACTGTCTGCAGTGGACCAGGCTCCACGAAGCTGTAAATTAGCCCCCAACCAACTGATATCCCCTCCCAGCTGACACCCACCCCAAACCTCCAAGCCTACCAGGAAGCCCTGCCATTCTCTCAAGCTCAACAAGTCCCCAACCAAGTGGACAAAACGCCTCACTTAGTCATTCCGTAAGCATCTCCTGAGCCCTTACGCTGTGCCAAGCACAGTCCCTCTCTCTGCTCCACCGTGTCACTGCCGGGGCCCAGCCCTACATGTATCCCCGCCCAGCCTCACACACGGTCCCTGACCAGGAAGCAGACTAGGGATTTGAACACAAACCCCAGCCTCAGGACAGGAGCCCTTGGTGTGAGTGTGTGGAAGGCCCATGAGCAGGCACCAGGCCACACTGGGCCACTCCTGGCAGCTCCTCTGTCCTCACCTGCCAAACACGGAGCACCCACAGGCCTTCCTCCAGAGGACGGGAGGCAAAGTGCTTTCGGGGAGGGGAAAGGGGAAACGGAAAGCTGCATGCATATGGGACCAAGGAACCAGCCAAAGGACAGAGCCCTTCCATTCCCAGCCCCCCAGGCCTCCTTCCCAGTCTCCCTCACGTCTTGGGCCCCCCACAGCCCACCAGCTTCTACACCAGGACACCCCCGGCCACCCTCTCTACAAGAGCGGGAACCTGACTTTGGCAACGCCCCAGGCCCAGAAGCTGAAAGGAAACCGATAATGAAAACCACTAGACCCCCGCTCCCCAGCTGAGGAGACGCTGCCAGCAGCTGCTGACCAGACAAGCCTTTGACCTCCATCTCCCCATGTTCTGGCCCCTGCGGAGGAAAAAGCCTATTCCTTGTCCCAGACAGTAACTTAGAGGCAAGAGGTGGCCCAGAGCGCCTGGCAAGAGGCTTAGCACAGACCCAGCTGCTCAGGCTGGGACAG